GTGAACCTTGTGTTTATGGAAAGAAAAAGAGGGTATCTTTTGCGAAGACGAGGAGAGTACCTAAAGCTCAGAAGTTAGAGCTTATTCATTCAGATGTTTTTGGTCCAACGCGAGTTGAATCCCTAGGAGGCTCGAGATTCTATGTGACCTTCATAGATGATGCCACACGCAAGGTATGGGTTTATTTTCTTAAAAGTAAATACGAAGTATTTGATGTTTTTAAGAAATGGAAAACTGCCGTTGAACTTGAAACTCGTTTGAAGGTGAAATGTTTGAAATCGGACAACGGAGGGGAGTACATTAGCACAGAGTTCATGGACTATTGTGCTGAACGAGGCATTCAGATGATAAAGACTGTTCCACGCACTCCTCAACAAAATGGAGTCGCAGAAAGGATGAATAAAACTCCAAACAAGAGAGCCAGATGTATGAGAATAAATGCAGGGCTCCCGAAGATGTTTTGGGCAGACGCAATTAACAATGCTACTTACCTAATCAACCGATCGCTTTCAGTTCCGTTGGGTTTCAAAGTACCTCAAGAAGAATGGAAGGGTAAAGCTGTTGATTATAAGCACCTAAAGGTTTTCGGGTGCAGTGCTTATGCTTTGAATCAAGATGGTGATAAGCTAGATGCAAAAGGCCAAGAAGTACACCTTTATTGGCTATGGATCAGACAACATGGGCTACCGGCTTTGGGATTTTGAAAGCAAAAAGGTAGTCAGAAGTAAACATGCGACGTTCAATGAGGCTGAATTGTACAAAGACAAAACAGAATCAAACTCTAAGGTTCAAAAATAGAGGTTGAGTTTGACACGGGAGCAGAAAAGCAGGGAGCTAAATTGGTTCCTGAACCGGTTTCCGAACAAGAAACTGAAACAATTGTCGACACAGTTCCAGAGTTTGAAGTCGGTGGAAATGATGAGTTAAAGGTAGCCTCTCACAGTGGGAGTTCGGAGTCTGAAGATGAACAATCCCCATCTGACCAGACTGATCAGTGGGTCAGGAGGTCCACCACAGTTACAAACAAGCCAGATAGATATACTCCTTCAGT